TGTTTCTTTTCAGATGCGCTTAACTTTCACAGTGACTAAGTTTTGCTTACCATCGTGTCTCCAGACTGCTTTCATTTGCGGTACGTCCAAATTGGAAGTTACTAAGGCAAGATTGTCTTGAGAGTCCTTGAAAGTCGAGTCCTAAATCATTGAGGTTTGCAATACCGTATTTATTCGATTAAGCGCTCAGGGCGCTTATTTCATTTTTAGGACTTTCAGGGTGGGCGCTTATTCGAGGCTGGGCGCTTATTACATTTTCACCATTTTCAGTAAGTAAAAAGTTTATTTTGTAACAAAACAAAAAATAAGAACAAAACATTACAAAATATTAAAGCATATAAATTGTAACTGTTCACTGGTCAGTTTATGCCAAGGACTAACAACTCATTGTTTGGTCTTCGCAGAAGTCTCTTTAGCTATCATAATTCTCAATCAACGTCATAACATTTTCAGACAATAAAACTAGAGATTGTAAGCCATTAAAGAAATACCGTAATAATCTATACCCGTGTTCCTCTTGTGCACTTTATTATTACTATTATTATTATTATTGTTATTATTATTATTATTATTGTTATTATAAGTCCTTAAAGTCTTGCCGCTTTTAACATATGGTGCCGAGTTCAATCCGTGAGCCTAGGGCAGTCATAAGTCTGCTGGATTACTTGATGGATAGAGTCCTAAGTATGTGAGCAGTTCCAAGGAGGACGGTCTTCTGTAGCTCTGTTATTCTAATACTGCCTGGGATCTTGCCGGTGTAGTTTTCTGTTCCCTTCTTGACAAACCCGAAAGCTCCAATGATCACTATTATTATTATTATTATTTTTTTTTTGTTTCTTTTTTGGGGAGGGGGGGTGTGGGCGCTTATTCGAGGTTGGGCGCTTAATCGAATAAATACGGTAATCACCGTTACTCGGAGAGTTTCATCAGCGACCCTCGACGTATCTTCCAGCGACATATCTAGGCGACGGACTAGGGGACGCCAAAGCACTTCTTCTATGGCCCCCCTTTTTTTCCTAGCCTAAACAAGGAAACAATCCACCTGCATCCCGTGTTATTGACCAGTGTTTCAGCCACTGTTTTGTTTTTTTTTTAATGCCTTCAGAAATCACTGGATCTACTGAAATAGGTTTGAAAATCATCTTTCCAGACCTGGCTTTTAATTCTGGAAATGTCGCTCAGTGGAGTGGGGAATTTTCTGATCAAGTAAGTTAAGTTGACAACAATCTATTTTTAAAAGGTAGTCAATAGCGCGGTCTGTTACGCCATGGAAGCCTCATTAGTGCAGGTTCAGAAACATCAAAAGAAACTGTTGTACCTTGTTGATACTTATAATTAGGTCTATTGGCACTGGTGTAGTTCCTGCCTATTAAATTCATCTTTGTAGGACCGACTACCCGGGAGTTTAATGGATGATCCATGCTCGAAACGTCGGCTTTTCACATTCGCTAGGGTGCATAATTTACCTTCAGAGATCAGATTTGAATTTGAGTTTTTCCTGCCTGCTTATTAACATGCCAAACAAAAAATACTCATTTTCAGGCGAAGTGTGCAAGAGACTTGCTTTGAACTGACATTTCACCTAATGTTCATGTTGATTCTCTGCGCGTATTTCGTGTATCAATGAAAGTATTTTATTTATTAGTTGGGGACTTTCTGGAACAAACATTCAACATAATCTCGGTGATACTACTCGTTTAATAATAACGTGTTCATCACAGATTGGAGTTCGTCCCCCAATTTTCGCTTTTTATTGAAAACAAAATCTGAGCAGTGAGTAGTGTCCGCGCGTATTATATTTTAAACCATCAAATGAGAGATTTATGATTCCAATATTGTGTCAGTTTCCAGTATTTCGGTTTCTAGTTTTTGAAATACATTCTGCCTCATCCAAAAATCGTACCCATCGCAAAGGGCGCGTGCGAATGACGAAAAAATACGACTCTACAGTGCAATAAGGGCTCATATTTTTCGCGTTCTCTTGACCTAATCTGATGAAATAGCGTAATAATGCATGGAATAATAAATATAGTAAGAAGACTGAGTGGAGTTCAGTTCCTATAAGTAATCAGTGATTTCGGGTGCAATTAGAAGTAATTCAATAGAATAAGAAAAATTGCAGTCTTTAAAAAAAAATTGCGAGTGCTTATTTATTCCAAATTGCTCGAGAAAAAATATTATTGATTACTTATCAATAATCTTCATGCAATTTTAAAAAATTTCAACTTCCTGCACTCAATTTCAACTTTTTGTACTCATATTCAACCTTTCGAACTGTTTGAGATTGATTGACGTGCTTTTAGCCAATTAGCATGCTGACAATATTATTAGGGCTAAAATCGGACCTGTTGATAGCCAATCAGACTTGGTAAATTTTAATATAGTTATAAGTGTGCTAGTGGATGTAGCTGTATTGTGTACGTGCATTTTATCATTTGACTATGATTTCTTCTTCTATTACTAGTTAAACTGCTTGAATTCAAACGTTTATTTTCTCTCATAACACAGGTAAAAGATCTTTACGTTGGCTATTCTTATTTTGAGGACATTAAAGATATCTCGGTTACTGACAGGTAATGTTATTTTCAGACATAAATTTACTGCAAATGTTTGAACAGTCACAGTATATATCTGCTAATAAGTGGACCGTTCACATGTAACTTTAAAGTGCAGCTAACCCCNCTCGAGCAAATACAGAGAGCTGACTGAGGCGCCATTGTGTTTGGTTCCTGGGTAGACGTCATCAGCAATCGCCGCCTTAGAACTCCCTAAAACGTGGTCGCGCAACACTTCAGGCGCGGCTTTGAAAGGGCATAGAAAATCGAGGATTCAACCAAATTCAAAAATTTTTTGCCCAAAAGCTTCGAATAACAAGTGGATTCGTTTTAGCGGAAAAAAAATTTTGGGGTTAGGTGCACTTTAAAGTTGATGCAGTTTATCAAAAGTCAGTCAATCGGATAGCACAAAACTACTGACTGAAACGGCATGATGATAAATGTAATTTGTGATAATCGATATTGACCTAAATTAATATTTTGCCGACACGGAACAGAGAACTGGGTGCGAGCGTAGTGCGCGAAGGCTCGTGGTTAGACGTTGGTAAACAGAGACGGTTGAGAAAACTTGTGACATTTTTCGGCCAGCTTTGCCACCAGCACTTTTGGATAAGGTTTATTTTTTGTCCCAGTGCTGTAAGTAGAGTTAACTAATTTATCATTCATTCTGTTGTGTATAGGTATAAGTAGAGGTAATCGTGCCGGTAATGGTATGAATGCGAGTGCAATTGAGAGTTCATCCTTCGAGTGAAATTAAAAAGAATTGTCAGAAATCACGAGTAGTGTTAGTAATCCTTAATTGACTTAATTGCTCGAGCTTTCATACGATTACGTATTTATAAAATGACTGAAAAGGTTACGAAGGCGCACACGTTAATTTGCTCTGCAGTGCTAATTAAGAATTAATGATAAATTTTGACCTGCTCTCAGCCAATCACAATGAAGAAATTTTCTCAGTCTACCAAGCCGAGTTACATTTCAATAAAATCACATGTTTTAACATTAAAATCATCATTTATTGTAAATGTATTTTATCCTTATTTCGGTATCCTTTTCACAATTAAAATTATCATTTACCTTGAAAAATGTCAGATTACTCATCTATTCCTTTGTGATCTTGTTGCATAGTAATGGACAAGCCTCAGTATCATTTAAATTAAAATTCACTGACATTTTCTGGCGATCCATGCTGCCTCTTCAGCTTGCTATGGAAAACGGGACCTTACTTGGATCTCCTGGTGTAATGGATGAGGCTTCATGTCAAAGTGGTAGCCGTAAGTGTAAGTTAGCTAGTCACTTCCGTTATATATTATTTTCTCAATTTGTCTTTAATGAACTGTAAAGCGCTGTTGATCAGCATATGTAAATAGTGCTATAAAAATTGTTAAATTATTAATTCTTTTATACCCTTATACCCAAGCAAAATGTGAACCATAGTCCTTCAACCCAGCGCTAACCTCGACACCTTTTGTACGCTCCAAGGTGTCCGAGTTAGGACATGTTGAGGTGGCTCCTAGCAATTTCAAACACTTTCCCGTAGAAGGTTACGATAGCAACGATACAACCTGGTAAAAAACAACCTTAATTTTAGTTTCAAGTACTTATAATTCAAAAACGGCTGGGTGAAGCTCGTGGATTTTTATTATCGAATTGCGATAAGCATGTTAAGATACAACTTTTTGCAAAGTCTTAAAAAAATTCCTGTATGCAGGGCTCAGAGCGCTAGCCGCCTTAAATTTTCGAACATTTAAGGTGCTTTGAGCCCTACCTGCAGAATATTTCACGGGCATTTTCTTTTTTAATATAGAGACAATCGTCTTCCTTATCTTTTAGACCTCAATGTTGGTGCATCTTTTGTAACGCTTCGATGTCATATCTGGGGAGTTTATCCGCTCCTGATTTGACGCCCAAGAGTGCGTGTGGCAAAAAAAAATACAACTGGATATTTACCGGCCAGTGTCTTGATATCGCATGAATTCAGGACAGCATGCAGATAAAGTTCCTGATAAGTTAATTGTAAATTTGGGAATGGTAGTGCGAAATTTGCTTGATTTTAGTCAACTCGACCTAACGGCTGATTCATTGAAGTTCTTTAACAAGAGATTGCTCTTGCGAAAAGTTTAGGAAATAAAAGGGATGTAGAATTTCTACAGTAGGTATGTGTAAGGGAAACCTTTGGACCCCGGGATATCGCCGGATAAAACTCTGAGAAGTATTTCCCTCGCCAGGGATTCTAATCACACACTTCTTTTGAGTTCAGTAATTCTGTTTTATTTTTCAGTTATTTGCGAGGCGCCAAAAAATGCTCACGCGTCCAACATCTACCCCACCTTAGTCAAAGTAACAATGGACAGAGTTTCTGTTCCGCTGGACGATGATTATTTTCACGGCTACCGAATCCTGTACAAGAATCTTGAAGACCAGGGCTCCGAGTGGACACAACGCGGCGTTATCCGCAGTAATGTTGACCCGATAACAGGAGATGTACCTGGACTTGTTCCATACACCAACTACAGCTTTCGTGTTTTTGCGAAGTCGTTTCAATCTGTAGGCCTTATTTCAGAACCGTTCAAGGTCAGGACACTACAGTGGGGTAAGTAAAAGACATATTGAAACTTCCACATAGGCGCTATGCATGCAAGACGGTCACGCAGTCTTGTTTTACAAACGCACTGCTTTAATNACCGTTCAAGGTCAGGACACTACAGTGGGGTAAGTAAAAGACATATTGAAACTTCCACATAGGCGCTATGCATGCAAGACGGTCACGCAGTCTTGTTTTACAAACGCACTGCTTTAATACACGAAGTAACATTTCTTGAAACCAACTTGCGAGCAAGCTCAGTTCCTGGCAATCCCCACCCCTGCACTAAGAGTTGCCAAGAGCGAGAGACTCACACCACCTATAAAACCCCAAAAGATGATCAAGACAAAGGGCTCTTTCCGTTCAACGAAAAATTCCAGAACTTTCGAGAGAGAGACAAATGGTTCGAAAAAGTTTGTTGTAAAGTTTTCTGAAAATCCGAAAATTGTTGAATTTCCCTAATACGAACTATTAAACCGAAAGTTCCTGAAATTATAGAAAAATCAAATGGAACGAGAATTCCCTGTAAGAAACTCCCTAGGTTAGGTTTACTNGCTTCTTGCTGTACGTCTTAGAGGCTAATGCAAGCGATTTCTTCCCGGACGACGCAATAGCAACAACACATTACAGAGGTACAAGCAGAAGTACTCGCGTGGGAGGACTGGAAATATTCAGGCTGTACAACATTTCCGTAGCTGCGAGGACAGTCAAGGGACCCGGTCCTACAAACGAGTCTGTGGTAGTTAGGACCCATGGCGAAGGTTAGTGACGTGTATAATTGCAGTTTGGTCTCTTTCAATCTAGAAAGCAGCCTGACAAGAATATAAGGGCATTTTATTTTTTCCCCGCAAGAGAGAAGTTCGAGATTCTAATACCCGAAGAATTCCTCGCTTCCACACAGGTGCACTATCTCTGATTGGTCATTGTCGGGTCGGAATTTTAGCGCGCAAGTATCAACCAATCATAGACTCTTTACTGCAATGAGCGTGTTATAGGCAATGAAATCCAACCGAAGAGAGGTAAAGTAAACTCTAGATCTATGCACTGTTATATAATAAGTCAAAATATTCTTGGATTTTGATTGTTTCTTACTTATGATCTATTGGAGGACAGACGTATGGATGACGTCATTAACATTTTTTGTGTCTTTACTATATAACACAAATATATTTTATGTTTCCGTGCGTCTGTTTGGTAAAAGATCATAGGAGACGTCAAAATGTGGTAAGAACATCAGTGACACACTCGCCTAACTGTTTGTCTGCCACTTTGTTGTTCTTAACACATTTTGACGTCATCTGTGGGCGTTAACAGGGTGTGCTACGAAAATCTCTGTGTACAGACGTCTTCTGTTTCTTTTGTATCACATAGTAGCCGTCTGCACTTGCTAGCTGAGTCCAAAGCTTAAAACTTACCAAAAAGAAGGGAAAAGTGTTTGAGGTTGTCGGTATCACAAAATGTTGTTTAAAACGCTAATCTGTAAATGCCTAGCCACTTCTAAACATTGTTTTACAATTTTAACCAGATGGAGCACAAAGCTTACTAGCCATTTGTACATTAATCCCAGACAGGTCAAGAAAACGTTTATAATGCAATTACATTACACAATAAGTGGGTAATATTACCCTTGTATGCCTTGGATACAACAGGCGATGATTGCGAAAGAGGCGAAGGTGATCGCGAAGAATATAGCTGAGGCTTTTTTGTTTCTACATGTTTAAGTTTTAATCTTGTTATTCGTTTCTACTCTAACGTATATTTATGTTATCATTTAGTTCCTGGAGCATCTCCCCAGGCCCTCACAGCCTACAACACCAGTACATCCAGTATATATGCCAGCTGGAAAGAAATAGTGGCAGATAAACAACATGGAATCATGCAAGGATACAAGCTGTTTTTCTATGAGGTGACAAGGGAAGGAGGCTTAAAAAGCTTGGAAAACTATACTTATGATTTGGCTATGCACGAGACGACCTTTACGGGACTCAAGACGTACACTAAGTACAGGGCAGAAGTTCAAGGGTTTAATAATTATGGAGACGGCCCTCTTGGAGCTGTGGAGGTGTTCACAGAGGAAAGCAGTAAGTAGACTTATTTTTGTTGCTTCATTGTGGCCTCTTTAATATCTGTGAGGCTTTAATGACATGACTGACAAGCTTGAATGACTGACTGACTAGTTTGACTGACTAGTTTGACTGACAGACTGACTGACTGAACGACTGACCAGTAGACAGATTGGCCAACTGACTGACTGACCGACCGATAGACCGACCGACCGACCGACCGACGGACTGACCAACCAACCGACTGACTGGCTGGCTGGCTGGCTGGCTGGCTGGCTGGCTGACTGACTGACTGACTGACTGTCTAAACAACTGACTGACTGAACGACTGACTGACTAAACGGCTGCCTGACTGAACGACTGACTGACTGAACGACTGACCAATAGACCGATTGGCCAACCGACTTACTGACCGAACGACCGACCGACCCGCCCACCCACCCACCGACCCACCGACCCACTGGCCAGCCGGAATCAAATTGTTTGCTGAATCATTAACACGCGTACTGCTCTTTTTCTTAGTTCCAACCCAACACCCCAGAAATTTCACAGCTTTCAATGGAAGTTCTACCATAATACGTGCAACGTGGAGAACTGTGCCCAAATGCTGTCAACTTGGAGTCATTCGAGGTTATCACGTGACCCTGACAGACTCGAGCAACTCTTCAATAAGTATAAGAAATACAGTTCCTGAATTGTTTACACGGTTCATAAATCTTAAAAAGTTTCACACTTACCAGTTGTCCATAACAGCGTTTACATCCAAGGGATCTGGACCCAGCGTGTCCACAACAACATCGACTGATCAGGATGGTATGTTTAATTAAAAGATATTTTAACAGATTAGTAATATTATAATTTGTTGGATTTTAAAGCGGTTTTCAATTTAGTGCCATACAACATCAAAACCAAAGCAATCGTGTTAAGTTAACTCGATTGCTTTGGTTTTGATGTATTACTTTAGGGACGGACCATTGTTTTTTTGAAGGGCAATTTCCCACAAACAAATCCCGCACAGCAAAATGTGCTGAAAAAAATCATGCGATGGGAGCCGTGGGAAAAAGCAAATCGCGCATTTGCTTTCTACCAACCAGGACCTGTTTATTGACGTTTAAAAGTTCTTGCACAAGGCTTTGCCCACCAAAAAGAAACATCATGCATAACCTGAAGGTGACAAAAAGAAAATTGTCCAACCACCTCAAAAAATAATGGTCCGTCCCTAACCAATCAAAACCAATGATAGTTCAAGGTAAATTCACGTGACCGGCGCCAAGCGCGGGAAAACGCACGTGCTTAGGTCACGATTGATATTCAGTTTTGAACCTGATTGGTTGTGAATAAGAGGCGTGGGTTTCGTTAACCAATCAGGGATCGTAGCAAAGCAGAACCAGCGCAGTTTTGGATTATTTTTGGCACTCAATTGAAAGCCTCGCAATTGCAGTGCAATTCCCTCTAAAAAAAACTCAGATCACTTATTTTTTTGATACAATACATTTTAGTAGTTAGAGATACTTTTTAACCTTTCACAGCACGTGTTTATGTTAAATAGTAATACAAACAAAGTAAGAAAAGACTTCATTATTTCACATTGGTCAGAATATTTTTTGATCTGAAGAACGTAGGGATTAACCCTTATTCTGCAAACACGAGTCAATGTTTGAGACAATTAACGTCTCAATATGCGTAATGATTGTTAGTTTTCAGTACAAGTGTGTTTAATGCACCTCGGAAATGTTTTAAAGTCACTGCAATCACTGAAAAGAAGTCTTTTTCATTTCAGTTCCAGAAGCACCTCCGCAAAATGTCAGTGGCTATAACATGAGCCAGTCGGAAATCCAGTTATTTTGGACCCCAGTTCCTGCCGACAAAGTTAATGGCATTGTAATGGGCTACAAAGTCTTCTACCAAAAGGCTCAAGGCTCTCGGGCTGTTCAATACAAAAGCTTTAATAGTTCCACCTTTCAGGGTATAATAGATGGACTAAGTCCTTTCACAATCTACAACCTTGACGTGAGGGCGTTTACCATTCAAGGAGATGGGCCTCCCAGTCCTTTTATTACTGTACAAACAGAAGAAGAAGGTTGGTAGATTTGACGAATACCTTCATGACCAGTATATAACAAATAAATCGCTTCTTTGCTCGAAATGCCTTGCTTCCTTAAGCCTGGTTTTCACTACGACATAATCGCAAGCACAAACATAAGCATAACGTTGGTGAAGACGCCCACAACACAAGGATAAGTACGTAGGCATTCATATTTTTGCTTCTATACCTCCTCGATACTGTAAAACAAGATGGCGGAACACACGCTAAAATTATCTAACACACGCTAAAATTATGGACTAGATTGTCCGATAATGCCAATACATAGCTCCTCGACACCGTAAAACAAGATGGCGGACTTTCGCTTATGTTTATGCTTACAGCAGCGTGTTCGCACTCGACATAAGCATAAGCACAAGCACAAGCACCAGGAGAACGAAAAGTTTTGTGCGCGTCCTCACTACCGTGTGCTTGTGCTTATGTTTGTGCCATGGGCGTCCTCCCTACGGTTATGCCTATACTTGTGCTTATGTCGTGGTCAAAATCAGGCTTTAGTCCCTTACCGCCTTGCTTCCCTTACCAACGTCGTTACTTGTTCACTCGCTTACATCTTTCAGTTTTCTTCTTCCTAACCTACTGCCAACGCTTGTGTTTTCAGCTCCTCAAGTTGCACCCAGGACGTTTCGAGGTTTCAATTCAAGCTCAACTTCCATCGTGCTGAGTTGGGACCCAATCCCTCAAGGGCAAGTCGCCGGAATCCTAAGAAATTTTCACATTACGTATCGCCCGTTAGATACCGCTGACAACGCCACATACAACATCACGTTGCCGATCACGAACCTGACCCTTGAAATAACCAATCTACAGAAATACACCAACTATAGTATTGATATTAAAGGAGTTACGAAGTTCATTGGAGCGGCAACGGAACCGATTATCGTCACAACTGGCGAAGATGGTACGTCAAGACCTTTTTGTTTCTTTATTGATGTTATTTTATGGATGATTTTACTGTGATAACCAGAGTTTCATTCGGCAGGAGATTCGTCTTGTGAAGGTATTCGGGAATCTCTGCAGCCAACACGGAGAGACGGAGAATCACGTCGATTTATAGATTAATTTAGTTTCTCCGGAACAATTTTCGAATCCCTCGATCTCTTCAGTTTCTCTATCGGTGTAAGAACTATCTCCTGGTGAATGTGTAAACACAGCGTTCAGTTCTTAATAGAGCTATTGAAAATGTGCAATCGTGCTTCGCCTGCCCAAAAAATACTTAGCATCACTCATGTACAGCGCCATTGTACCAATCATTTCGCCTTTTGTTTCGGAATGTTCTTGTCGCCGTCGTGGTTGTTGTAAGCCTCACCCTGCGCCTGCTTGTAGGTCAGAGAGGTTACTTGGCAACGTTACACGTTCTTTTGCTGTCATTACAGTTGACGAAACAGTACAATGCCTATTGAAGCAAACCAACAGCTCTTAATCGTAACATTGCTTGTATCCAGTAACAGCAACATCTTGAACGAAATCGTCTACTTAGCTTAAAGGTCGGCATGTACTAGAAAAACATGTAACGAGGGCACCAAACGGGGACATGTTGCAGCGACAGTTTTTCTAGCGTGTGCAGCGACTGTTCAAAAAGTTGTGTTGTGGGACAAAATTTTGTTCCCGCAACATGTTGGATGAAATTCAGTTGGTTCGAGTTCGTGCGTCAAGAAGCAGTGACAAAAATGACCTCAATTTTCAATGTCGCACCATGTGCACTGCTCCTGCAAACTGTCCCCGGTACAAAACGTTTTTATGCCTCTATCCGCGTCGTGTGCACCAGCTTACGTACTGTCCCTGCAACATGCGTCCTATGCGCACATACGAAGGGGCTTGCACCCGCTTTATGTCCAGGCTGCATGTCGCCTTGTGTGTGCATGCCGACTGTCGCCACAATGTAAACGTGTTTATTTTCTATTTTGTTCTGTCGTTTAGTTCCCGGCCTGCCTCCCCAAGATATCAAGACACAAAATTCAAGCTCTACAAGTATTTCAGTCCAGTGGAAACCAATCCCCAAAGACCACGTTAATGGAATACTCCTGGGAATTAAACTTTTCTATCGATCTGCTCCAAGAGATAACAGTGTAGTGTTCAGCTCCCGCGCGAGACGTTCAACAGAGGAGGACTGGTCGGAGTATACTATCATCACGTTACATCCGGGCGCGTTATCGTATGAGATGACTGCTTTGAAGAAATTCACCAACTACAGTGTTTCCGTACTGGGTTTTACAGCCAAAGGAGACGGAAACGTTAGTCAACAGTTTGTCGTGTCCACTGATGAAGACGGTCAGTATGACGGGGTTGATATTTTGCAAATGTTCGTAATATTTTAGTAGACTGCGCGCGAGAAGTCTCGTTTTCGTTTTTTTGTTGTTGTTGTTCGAAGATTTCGCAGGGAAGAGCGAAACGAACGAGCAGAGGCGAGCGACGATCGATCTATCGGTTTTTCCTCTCGCCTCCGTTCGTTTATTTTCTTCCCCGCGGATTTTTGAGTAAAAGAGGGACTGCTCGCAGACTATTATTTAAGTGAAAAGACTACTCCCCTTTGTTCCATCGTAAGGGTCAGATTTATCCTGAACAAAATCTGAGACAGTCACATTTTGAGTTTAACGTTCATTTTAATCTTCTCAATTGAGATTATTTTTGTTCCTATAAGCTACCTTTTTCTTGTTTTCGTCAACCTAAGGCGAAAATCAAATTTCAAAGCCATTGTCAGCAAAAGAAGAGTTGTACGAAACATCTAGAGCGAACCCTCTTAGCGTTTACTCACGTCTGACGCTTTCAAAGAGTAAGAAATTAAGGTTAGAAGAAGGCGAAAACGAATAAAATTCGTCTAAGCTAATCTCTTTTAGGAACCTAATTCATATTATTGTATGGCAAGGTAGCAGTCTTGGGGTAAACCCGAGTGTTCTCATTGGTTCTTTCTTGATCGGGATTTTGCCATACGTTCCCGTGCAAACGGACATAAGCCGTGTATTGTTGGCTTTCGAAAGCCCGCAAATTCAACCTGGAAGGGCGGAGTGCCATGTAACAAGCTACTTACTAACCTGGCTTGCTGGAGCCGTACTTTGGAATATTGGCTCTCGGTCGTTTCTGTACGGACCTAGCGCAGCGAGGTCCGTACTGCCACGACCTCGGGCCAATATTCGCCAGTACAGCCCTCGCGCTCAATTAGTAAAAACAAAAAACGCGCAGTATTATTCAGGATAATGTAAGTCTAACGTTTGTTATATTTTAGTTCCCAGCATGCCACCGACCAACTTTATGCCCATATCACGCAGCGGGGACTTCAAGATGTCGGTGACCTGGGGCCCAGTACCGGATGGTTTTGTTCACGGTATTCTGTTGGGCTACCACATTTATTACACAAAGATTCAACAGACAGGCCTGCCTGTTACCACCCAGATAGATAAAAAAATCTTTGGGCCATATGACTACAACACCACCATATTGCTTCTCGATAATTTCGCCATTTACAATTTGGAAATTGCAGCTTTCACGATTAAAGGTGACGGAGCGAGATCCCAGATCAAAGACGGATGTAAGTGAGGCGTTTACTTAGCCATTGAATTCCTCAATTATATAGTTTTCCTTTTTAGCACATTTCCATAGCTTTTATTTGAATGATCACACACCAGGGTTACACCCACAGACTTAAAATCCAGGAACAACGTCTTTCTTAATAGCTTCTATTTTAATGGTTACACACTATCATATCATTCACAAACTCAAGACTTAAAACCACCTTACACAGCATAATTAAGAAGTATCACGTGAAAGTACTACTCAGTAGCTTTCATTTGAGTGGTATACACTACCTATGGGCTCATCCATAGACTTAAATAACCTAGACCCGCCTTTTGCAGCAAAATATACAGTAGCGCATGGAAGTACGCACAATAACTTTCATCTAGATCTGAAAGTTCACATTCTAGGATTTTATACACAGACCACCTTCTGCAGCATAAGAGTCACATGATAGTATCACTAAAAGGCTTTTGTTTGAATGGTCACACTCTGAAACTTCATCCACACACGTAAACGTAAGCAACCGTTAACTCTTGTCAGATTCAACTCCAGGATTGAAAGGCCACCTCATTTTTACGATTATTTCGTGTACCAAACAACTAAAACAGTGAGCATGCCTCCGTCTTTTTCTTCGCCAGGTCACTTCTAGTTTTGGAGGCCAACTCCATGTAGGCCTTACCTCATTTCAGTTTAAACTGTAGGTCTTTAGGCACCAGTCCTTCAACTGAATAGGACAAACCCGTGACACTTCAGTAACTCATTTTTCAAAACATGAAACGGTAAAAACGAACGATAAAATCCGACGTTTCGGGGTAGTCATGACTTCATTATCAAGGAAAAATATATGTTAGATCATGCAAATTACAGCATTTGAAGCGATCTTGGCGCGAAGAATTAATATAAAGGGGTGCGAAGATTATGAAAATACTTTCGCACGAATGGAATCTGATTGCACGTTAAGATTTGGCTTTAAAGCTCTTATAAATAGCATTTCGTGCACTCATTTTTGCTTAATTAATTTTCAGCGACGTGTAACTGCCCACGGGTGTTCAAGACAACATGGTACCCATTCCCCCCGTACATCACTTACGAGGACGGCGCAGTTGGAGGCTTTATTCCTCGCATCTTAGAAGACGCGGTTGAATATTGCTGCAGTGACTGCCGTTTACCCAATGGAAAATCAGCGTCTGCCATCAACTTTGAGCTCGACGGGAGAGGGAACCCAGCGCAGAAGTCTGGTGTCGAGGCACTTATTAGCAGCATCGATTCTCTGACGGATTTCAGTGTTCCAGTGAATGGCTATCAGGGACAGACTCACTACTCTATTTATCGTTACGTCAAGTTGGCTGAGTCTCCGGGTGTGGCCTTCATCACTGTTATGGACCCCGGCGAGAAAGCTTCCGCCATCGCAAATGTTTTCATTCAATCATGGCCGTTGCTTATTTTGACGTTTATCATGATGCTTGCAGCAGGCATGGTTATGTGGATGATGGTATGTGAAACTGGACGAATTCGAATATTTGGAAATAGAAAAAACTAGATTCTATTCATTTGCATAACAAAGTCGAAAATTGATAAACCGCAAGAGGAAGACAATGTTCTGCAAGGTTTTTTTTTTTGTGTGTGAGTACCATTCAGAGGCGAAGTAAAAAAAACTGTCACCAAACCGTAGGAATATTTAGTTAGCAGGGTGTCGACATTATCTCGGTGTTATTTAGAACACGACAGCGGATAATGTTACTTTGGCCTTATCATTGTATTTTACCACGATAAATGGCAATAACCTTTTCACAATAAACTAGGAAGACATAATCAAAGAAGAATTAGCCAACGTGAATACATGTGTTTACCTTTTAGGAATCTCGATCAAACAGAACAGAATTTCCAAGATCCTTCTTTAAAGGAGCTTCCGAAGGAGTGTGGTGGGCTTTCGTCACGTCTACTACGGTTGGGTGAGTCAGACTTTGTCGTGACATGTCAAAATGTAACTACCATGTATCGGCTGATAGTATCGATGAAATATCGATCAACTGTCGGTGGTATATCGGTGTGGCGTTACTGCACCGACTCTACCCTAAACAGCATGTCTCGACATAAGAAGAGTCGCTGCAATGGGTGTTAAAGAAAAAGACACAAATGACGAACACAAGCGCACGGGAATTTGCCTTGTCTCCTCTTTATTCCCGAAGTTCACCACGTCCTATCTGCCCTCTGCCCCGCGCCTCTTTTTGGTCTAGTTTCCTCGTTAGATAACGAGACCTCTTTGACGGAAAGAGTACCATAAGTGCTGTCAGGTGACAGAATCGATCAGTGATCGGCTGACACTGCTTAAAGTACACAGGACCCACTTTCCGACAGAAGAGTCGCATGTTCATTTGGGAGAATTTGGCTTCTTTCAAATCGCCAGGCAGCTGGCAGCTGTAATTGAAGCAAGAGCTGACCTTTCAGGCGACTCTTTAAAGACAACCTAAGACGAATAGTTGCGTAAAATACCGCGAGTCCAGCGATACTTGGCAAAACTGTTTCAGGTATCGGCTGCCTTGTCGGTCGACAATCGGATTATAGTTAGTCTATACACTTGGGCGCCACCAACTTAGCGTAGAGTATCCAACTAGAGTTAAGACCGCGGTCAGTTTTTTGCTGCAGCAGTTCACCCAGTGATAGGATAAATTTGAAGTCTCTCGACGAAACTCTTGCAGGTACGGTGACCGCTGTCCGAAATGGGTGCTGTCTCGCGTGTTTGCGATTGCTTGGACCATGTGCGGCCTCGTTGTTATTGCCATATTGACTGGAAAAATCGCCACGGTTTTGACAGACTTCGGATACACAGGACCGTACATACCACTCTACGGTGCTGATGTAAGTAAAATCAAAGGCGCGAGTTTCATTGGTTATAAACCATTATTGAAAACATTTTACCAGATGGAACAAAGGTTTAGAGGTATAAGTTTTAAGCCTCGTCAAACACTCCAAAAAGCATTAGGCGATACTGAAATTTAAAATGTAACCTTTAATTATTAATTTCCCTTGGCAATGTTAGAAACTAAAAACATGCGCTGATATACCAGTTCTGGCCATGGTGTGCGCAAGCAATATTGAGTGGGGATTGGGAGGGGTAGTCACCTTTGCATCTGTTCTTTTTTACATCGTGAAAGAAGGACAACGACAATTTTATAAAAAATGGATCTTCGTAAAACTGACGGAAATTCATGCGTACCTCTCAGCTGTGTCCAGAGCATGGTTTACCCTTTTCTATTTAAACTTATTAACTCTGATTCTNTGATGACCCTCGCTTCAGGATTGTCCGCGTCTACGATTACAAGGCTAGTTACGGTGTGGTCCTAGCAGGTCACTCTATGAAACTGGAGGATTGCTTTACAGAGCACATTAAGGCGCACACAGCGAGCGTGTTCCAGAAGATCGAGGAAAATGTCAAGATTCTTAAGGTGAGATTGGGTCTATAAGACAAACGAAGGAGTCTGTCACTGCTAGCCTTCCATACACACTATCTTTCGTGCAATCATGTTTTGGCTGTATGCTTGCAAACTGGGAAATTTTAGCAGAAACCGTCGTGGGAAATGAACATGTCAGACATGTTCCTCTTCCGAATGCGGAACAGATTCAAATTTTCCCAACAAAGAGAAAACTTCTCTATTCATTTATTTATTATTTTTCTATGGAAATGGATTTTGTGGCTCCTGATTAAATCTTGCAAATCTGCTCGCTGGCTGCTCCTGAATTAACTTAGAATTAGAATACCTGACAATCCACAGCACGGTTCCTAGAAGTTTCCACAAGTCTTCAGTGCCAATGCCTTGTTGAAAGCGAGACTAGGTCCCCAGTGGCCGACCACCGACAGTAGGCCCCAGTCGGTGCGCAGTGCGATATAAGCAAAACCAGCCTTGCAAAATTATTGGAACAAGAGAAAGTGTTTATATAAGAAAAGAGTGCATCTCCCACAGTAGTGGTATGGGACAACAACATGGTCGCCATTTCATGTTTTGGAACACCACTATTGTGACGTCCTGTGAAAACACTCTATTCTTTTGACTTTTTTAGGAACCAGACGATAGCCCAGCTGAACAGCAGTCCACAAGTCTTTTTGCCGTACGCTCACCGCAATTCATCACCGCAGTCATAATTATCGCTGCCTTGTTGCTTCTTGCTTGTGTTTTAGGAATCATCTATGAAAGTCGTCGAAAGAAGACCAGTAAAGGTGTGTTAACATTGCAAAGAGCTCCCTCTTGTTTTATGAGCTGCAATTTCATAGTTAACAATACGCCCATTACTCGTTTTCTATGAGCCATTAGAGTTTACCACTAGATTTTCTCCGATTCTTCGGCGGAGAGACACTATCAGCCCATAGTCATAGTAAGGAAAATACCCGGATGGATAGTACTCGTCCGTGAAAATTTCTCTGTAAACAAGGGAGCTTACGGAATAAAAAATTGGAAAACGCAATTTGTTTTAAGAAGTGTGGCTACTCGCTTCGTTTGATGTCATCTTAAAAAAAGTTGAAAATAATTCAGGCGCGCAGAAGGAAATGTAGCCCTGAAAAACAAAGACAATGGGGTGTTTATGTCTCGGAACTATCGGTCTGATAGTTGCCCCTTGGAAATTTGATGGTCTTAAAACTGGCATATTTGTCTTAAGAACATCAAATTTCCGTGGAGCAACTATCAACCGATAGTTCCTCGACAGAAACACTCGATTGTTTAAATAGTCAACGAGGCGCAACGTAGTTGACTATCGCTCACAGAAGACGAGAAGCGCAATTTTTTTGGTAGCAACTCAAAAGGATACCTCTCCAAAACCTACAATTGTTTATACGTCTAGAGCGCGCAGACCTCCACGTTTCCCTCGCCGAAATATGAAGGCTTGGGGTATTAGCGTACTTCAAAATTTGAAAGTCAGTGAACATGACTCCATAACTTGCGGGATACAGCACCATTTCTGTTTTGTAAACTTGGAGTCCAAGGAAATGAGATTTTTTTCTTATAGCCTCGGGGTTGCTGCAGGGTTGTTAAAGCATCGCTAATTAACCCACACGCGAGCCAGTTCATCCAGGATACATTATCTTTTCCCGCAAAGTTGGGTCGGGTAGCAGCTATCGTAAGAATAAGGTCTCACATAAATGGTCTCGTACCCTTTGGGAGGACAATATAGAACAAGCCACAGAAGCAATGCCCGTAGCCTAAGACAATAACAGCTGCTACAATTATAAAACCATAGCAGCTTACGAGAGCTGCTACAATTCTGGTAAAGCTCGAAACAAAGAAGAACAAATAAACCTGATATCCGCGATGGTTGACTCAAGTTCAAACTTATGTCTTCTCATCGACCTTCCGACCCTCGTGCGATCTCAAAGAATCTGACCCTAATTGAATTTTCATTAGAGTGGCGAAGGTGCTCGCTCACTTCGTTCCCACGGTCTTCTCGGTCGCTATTTCGAACAAAACTAGAAGACCCTGGAGACGAAGTTGGTTTTTACTCGTTTGAAAGCCAGACCTGATGACATCACCTTTATAACTTGCCGTTCAATAGTTTCCGCATATAAATCTTCTATTAAACTGTTAAAGCTTTTAAGCCGCGATAAAAATTTACATTCAGACATCGATGGACTCAAAGTAGAAGCCGTACTTTCGTACCGCCACCGTGTTTTCTACGATTGACAAGGTGTGACAGTGTCATACAACGCTTTTCCCACAACATTTTAACTTTCCAGTAAAAGCGTGCGAGTCAATGCTTCTTGTTCAAGGGTACCTGACTCGCATCACTACCACTTGATTTTTATTGTTTCTTGCAGTTTTAAAGCAAAGTAAAGATCTTAAGAACGAGATGTCTCCACTTGTCGACAGTTTCCTCGTCAACATCAAGACAAAGGTAGAAGCTCTATCAAAACGGCACCGTCAAGACAGATGTCACGTGATGCGGCTGGAAAGGGAGCGTGACCAACAAGCAGGCTATGCAGTCAACAAGTATTACCAAATGCTAAGCTTGCGCGACATTCGACAGCAATGGTCCCAGCGCCCTTTGTCCGTCAAAAGTGTGGCGTCATCACTGAATGGCAAACATTCTTACAATCCAACGCTGTGGCCCTTTACTGAGGCAACTAATCGTTTGTCACCCAATGTCACGCCATCCTGGAAACACGGTTTTCTTCCCTCGGGAAAAAGGCAGGGATTTGACCTCCCGGCTGCTCCTGTCACGCTGGAGCCAAACATCCGTGTCATAGACGAAACAAGCTTGTAGGTTTTTACTCCCAGAGGCACGTGCTTTGCAATGTTTCACCATTGATCTGCGTGATGCGTGATAGTTCTTAATGTCGCGTAACACAGATCGTGACACGTCTTTTTTAACATTAGCAAATCAAATACAGATTCGGTCTACGTTACGTCAAATCTAACTACCATACTTTCGTAAAATACCAATTCACTGAGACCAATGCGAACTGTATTTACATAGCATTATTATCCCAGCTGCAGCGAATACCGCCCAAATAACAGTACAAATATACAGCGATTTTTTACAATAACTGTCTAATTTCCCGGGCGCTGATTGGCTCATTTTTATCATCAATAGGAGTATAGACGGATAAAATTTTAATATGCAAGCTTTCAAGTTAAACTTTCAGCTGTCAAACTGTGAACTTTTTAACTAATGATATTTTATGGACTTTTTTAAGTAGTCGAACAAAAAGCGAGAAAAGGTATTGACAATGTTCGCGTCATTTTGAATAAAATTCAGTTATCTTTGTTTACGGCAAGTTTACAGCGTCTTTTCCCTTCATTTATCCCGGCATTTGGCCATTTTGGGGTCTTGTTTTTGTAAAAAACAAATTGACGTCAGTTTTTTATGCGTGTGTCCTCTTATTGATGATAAATTTCGTCATAACATTGT